AAAGCTAGGAAACTGAAATTTTAGGTGAATTTCCCCTGCCCAAGTACAACCTAAGTATTTAAAATTCAGCCTTGAGGCATGCGTGGTTTTAAGTGAAGAGCAATTAAAAGTTTTGGCGGAAAAATTTTTCACTGAACAGCTAGGTTACTTTTGAAGAACGACCGTTAAATGGAAATTGTACATTTACTTTATGCAAAATATGTGGTAATTTATGCTAATGAACGCAAAGGGTAAGTATAAAGCAGCAACCATTTGTGCAGTTAATGGCCTGAGTACTTCAAGCTCAGTGCAAAAACATATGATCGCATGGACCCTCCCGGTGCGTTCCAGCCTAGGTTTGACAAACAACCGCTCGAACAATACTTCCACTTTTTAGTGAACTGGAAATTTGCATTTTTTCAAAAAATTTGCGCCTTTCATTTTCTCACAAAGCGAAATTTACAGGAAAACGACCAAACTTCGTGCAAAAAGCTGGTAATCATGCACCTGGATGTCCGTGTGGCTCTATAATGCACCATCTTCCCCAAACCGACGCCCTTCCTCCTGCATATCGAAAGGACAGCCAATTCGAGCCCAAATGTTAGGCTACAGCGTAGGGTCATACTTGCTAATAGCGATCTGCGAGTTAGTAATGGTCCCCTCTTTCATCACGTTGAATATCGGGCCTAACAGCAACTTCTTCAAACAGATCCTTTGTGTTTGCCTTCTAAAGGCCTACAGGAACACGAACGTACAACAACACGTTTGTAATAAAATAACACACGTTTTTCTCATGTAGATCCAGAGCTTCCCCAAATCCTCTTTTTCAGGTGAATTTGCTAGCAAAATGAAATATGGTACAGCCGCCAAATGGAAGTACAATGGATCGATTGTGCTGTGTGGTACTAATCATGTCCCACACACCCACAGGCATCGGTCGTACACACCAACTGCGGCTGGTATGCACACCACACGCAGTCCCCATTCAAACAACGCGTAGTCCCCTAAACTTGTACGGCGCCCAGTAACATAAACAGACGCCGCACACCACCACTCACGGCCCCCATACACACTATGCGCAACCGCTCAGCAGATACGTGTACGGAATAAGTGAGATGTATTCCAAATCGATGCTGCAAACAAGGCGCGGCCCGTTAGCGTACGGCTACGATCAGTTAAAGTAGGCGGCAAATTTGAATTCACGTCACGTGAGTGGCGGTGAATTAGGCGGGAGGAGGGCACGGAGGCGGTCCAGCTCACGTCATAGGCATCCTGGGGCGAGAGTGGAGCGGAGAGGGGAGGGAAACAGCGAAATGCAGTGGTATTGGAAATGAGGGGTGTACTAGTTCACCTCACCTCCAGAATTGCGAAAGCTAGGAAGCTGAACTTGTCTTGGCCAATGTGCGGGGTAGTGATGGGCCATTAATTCGTCGATTCGCATAGATGATCAAACCCCATCCTCAGCTGAATGGTAGCATAATGTGGGACCCCTTCTTTCTTACTTATTCCCCTTCTATGAGAAAGGGTACTTCAAAGTTTGACGCGAACACCGGCTCGCCTGGTGCGTTCCAGCCCGGGTTGAGTCTGCGACAAAACTGAGTATTTGCCACGCCCGCATGCTGGAGATTTCAGCTCCAAGCTGAATTATATTCGTATATAAATATATAATGTTCCTGCAAAGTTTTAGCTTGTCCGGTAAGCGAAATCACTATTTTGCTGCAAATTTCTCTGACTTGTCTTAAAGCGTGGCCCGAACGCAATCAGAAACTCCACTTAGGTATACTCCTTTTCAAATGGACGGTAAATGCTTTTACAAAACTTCAACTGCTGTTTACTGGCTAGTTTTCAAGCTGGCACAGTGCCAGCTGCGAAATTTGACATCGCATGCTCGGCGCAAATGGACGCGATGGCTGAATTAGAAATCTTTATCCCACACATGCAGAGAGGATATCTCAGCAAAATTTTAGCTTTCTATCTTTTTTGGTTCCCTAAATCGCTTCCCGCCGAAAATATTAGCATATTTCTTTTGAGCACCTGTACGTGAGATCTGGGCGCGCACAAGCGGTGATTTTAAAACGGAGGATGACACATGGGGTGGGAATATGCTCTCAGTACTTCAGCCTCCCAGCATTCATGGATGCTGGATTGAAAATGGGTAACAAAGTTCACACATACACACACGCACATGCACGGACGACTTCTCGACAACAAGTGTCTTTACTCACTGTTGTAATACTGCAATGCTGTGCAGAAAAAAAGCATAGAAACGAACAGTTGCACAATATTGGAGGATTTTTTCCGAACTGAAAGCCATAACGCAACGTATACGGAGATAATGGCCAAATTGAGCACAACAGATGAGAAAATCCAGAACGTGCGAGACAAGCTGTGATAAATTGCAACAATAACACAGATCACTCCATCGCTACAAGATAGGTTTTCGACAATTTTTGCTTTGAGATGGGTGCACATCACACACTACCTAATATCGACAAAATATTGGAAGCATCTTTATAAGCAAAATCATTGGCGACACGCACCAGGCGGGCCTGTACGACCATGCGTTTTTGCAGTATTTCGCGCTGCAACAAAACCGCTTGGAATCCCAGTAGGTAGAAATTGTGACATGCCAGTTCTCGAAATTCAGGAAGTTAATTCTGCAACTATGTAGTATTAAGACAGGGAACAATCCTCAAAATTCCAGACTCCCAGTTTTTCTGATGCATGAGTTAGCGATTTTACGGTCGAAAACTTTCACACGCTTGTACGTGGGATCCAGACGCGCGTGAAGGTTAGTGTCACGATTCTACAGTGGCACTGGCCGAGGGACCAATGGCAAAATTTTAGCGCGGGGGCTTGCTTGGTTGCTCAGTTGAATTACCCGGACAAAAGTACACACACACACACACACACACAAACATACACAGACAAACACATGCACACACAAACACACACATACACACGAAACTCACGCATACACACACACACACAAACACACTCACACACACGCACGCACACATGGGTTGTCACAATATGCGTTTTTGCAGTTGCATAGGTGCAAATACGCATAATGAGGGATCAAGGAATGAACGAAAGTCCCGCTAGAAGCCGACAATTGCTTAAGGGTGTGCTGCACAAGGTTTTTAGGTTTCTACACGCAAGTGCAGAAAAACATATTAGCAAGAGGCTGTCTGTATGCGTGTGCCTGTGTATTCGCATTTTTTGCCATCCACTTTCAACTCGAGAGCCAGAAAAGCCAGAAAGCTAAAAGCTTGGGAGCATGTGTCCACCACGTCTGTGGCCTCCCTC